AAAAAAAAAAAAAAAAAGCATTCATATATCAAGAAAAAATCATGACGTTTCATAACAGTGTGTCAAAAAGGGGAATGCATACCATTACTGCAGCAAATCAGAAGAGTCTTTCTCTTTTGCAACTGGGATTTAGCAAAGTTAATAGCAGAAGGGAGATTCCTTAGCAAAGAAAAACGGTCGATTTTGGAATCCTGCTCAAAAGTTAGATGATAAAGAAAACACGATAAGATACTTCATATGCACGCAACATTCAGTCTAGCTCAAGATGAGTATGTGAGCGTCTGTGCGTGGAAAAGATTAACAATATGTCATACATACCACAATTGGTAGATGCATGTACATTTCGAGGTCTTCGAGTGAGACAGGCAACAACTCCCTATCACAATTTAATATGCAGAAGGCAGGAGGGGTTTCTATGGCTGTAGAAAAAGAGTTCACTGCACAAGGTTACATATGTACACAGACATTCAAGCTTGCACAATAAAAAGAAATAAATAAGAAAACAATATCATAGTATGTGGTATGCCTCAGACTGAAATACTATAGAGTACCCCACTTGGCCTGAATGTTTATTCATATATTTTCACAAGCATAAACTGCAGAGACACATGGGCTACAAAACAATTGCCAAATACAAAAGGAAACTATGAAAACCAGTGAGTTCTCCCTCTTTTGGTATTGAAAGTAAATGTAAAGCATGAGAAAAGAGTTCAGGCATTTTGCTAATGCAATATATATTAAATGCAATACCAAGTCGAGATTTGCCGACTGCAATACCAGTTGACCCCAAAAAGTACATGCAGCAATCACCACTTTTCTTCTCGCCTTCAGCCACAAATTCATCATCAAACACTAATGGGTCTCCAAATTGAGACGAACTTGTGTTTCCCAGGATTTTTGAAGGCTTAACAGACACCTGTGGAGCATTTTCTCCCCTTCGTGCACGGCTAACTCGGTCCTTTTCTACAATATTTGCAATCTTTTGATTACACAAGTCAGGACCTGAGCTTATAATATCATATGCATGCTTCCAGAAAAGATGGGGTGCTAAACCTCTAGCCCAACTTTCCTCATCATCCCCAGCACCAGCAATATAGTTCCAGCTAAACTCAGAGGTGGTCCGATTCTGAAAAGTGCCATCTGAAGATGATGCTGAGACGAGTATGATGGGTGTGAAATCCCATGAATCGTACTCAGGTACTTCATTCAACCAGATAACAGTTCTTTGTGAAATCCA